GCTCTTTCAGATGTCGTTGTCAGTTTTGCATGAAAAAATTTATTCACAATGTTATAAGGTACCGAATATAGCCAAAAAAACGTGATTTTCGCACTTTTAGGTTAGGATATCTTAAAATCCTAATGTGCTGACGCAATTCTGAACTCGGATTTGGATTCATCGCACTAAAATCCTTCAGGTGTACTACGTCTGGTCACTGGTTCTGTAGTGTCGCAGTATAAACAAATTCATAGGTGTTAAATTTCAAACGATGATATCTTCATTACCAAAAGACATAAAAACGAAAGTCGGTAGTGCATTTTGTAGACCAAGTGTTGCTCTTTCAGATGCAGTTGTCAGTGTTGCATGAAAAAATTTATTTACAATGTTATAAGGTACCCAATATAGCCAAAAAACGTGATTTTCGCACATTTAGGTTAAGATATCTCAAAATCCTGACATGCTGGCGGAATTCTGAGCTCAGATTTGGATTCAGCGCACTAAAATCCTTCGGGTGTACTATATCTGGTCTCTGGTTCTGAAACCTTGTTGGCCTGTGTAATTATTCCTGTGTGTAATTATTCTGAGTATAATTATAATTAATTAATTATATTAATTATAATTATGTGTATTATTATAAAATTCCAAAGCTAAATACGTTTAGAACAGAAATTTATGTAAAATGTGAGAGGAAAACTATAAGTCTCATACAAGTCAAATTTCAGAAATTCTTTACAGATACAGTGCGTGATTTTTGAATAAATAAAACATGGATTGAAATTTGCTAGATTTTATTCAACCGTATATCGGGTTCATATTTATCCGGCATGAAAATCCCAGTTATAAGTAGGGAAAAGCCATCTAAACACGAGCAAACACAATCGAAAAAAAAGGATTTACAAAGAGTTACGCTGCTAACTTACAATTAATTGAAGCAGGCTCGCTTTGCCTGTGAATGGTCATTCAAACTAAAAACTACTCGTTTACCACACGACGCTAATTATACACCTTGTGCGAGAAGGAAGGTCGTCTCCTAGAGCAGCACAGTGCCAATATCTTAATCACGAGGACAGCCCGCATTGTGCTGCCCTTAATGTAGGAATAGGGCCGAGTTGTTGCTGTTTGAGCTGCCCTGGGTTGGAGACGCCTCAGAGGATACCACGCGTATCCTTAGCTAGGCCAACGAGTGCCGGTAGCCCTTGTTGCAATCGCGGGTTCGTCAAGTCGCTGATATACAGAAGCATACACAATGTTCGCACGCAACTGATGTTCACAAAATGTAATGTAAGCGCAAGGCACTCGCACTCATATCGGCACATGCGTAACAATTGAAAGCTATTTAAAACTGAGATAGCAACGAGGTAAAGGAACTGAGAGAGCAATGTGGTAAAAGGAACTGAGAGAGCAACGTGGTAAAAGGATCGAGTACTCAAGAACAACTGACTCCGTCCTTCTTCTTGAAGAAGGATCGAATAATTTTTTCGTCGTATTAGGCCTGGTCGTGAGGGCCAATTCGAGCTGCAAGGGTTAGAACGCCGAATTTTCCGATAAACGTTTACCTGCGCGATAATTGCCGATTGACCATTCCTTTTTGTTTACAACACAGCACGCGCACCACTGGCACTGCTGCATGTGTTTGCATTCTGGGTTTGCTCCGTCCGTGACAAGACCCAAATAAGCGACAAGAGACTACATCTCCAAATGGACTTTTACTTTTACAATAACAAAAAAAAGTGTTATAAATTATCGCTCTCTACTTTCGTGCTACCCACATGGAGTACAGATTCCGCGAACAGTATCATCACAACAAATACGGCTAGTAATTGAAATTGGCTGCCGTCATCAGCTGTTACGGTAATGTTTCCAGTGTTCCTATTGCCTGCGCTACGGTGCAGTACTTGCGAGATATTTATTACTTTCTCTTGCACTCTTGATATACAGTCAGCATCTTGCATTAATTGTTATAAAGGGTGTTCGTCTTCTTTTTCGTGTGCTATATATTCAGCGCAGATAGACGTTATCATTTCTGAACGTAGCGCTGCTTTTCTTACTGCGTTACTGTCTGTTTTCCCCGTTTGCTCGAAGTCACTTGCTAAATAATCACCTAGCAACCAGTTCTGTACCCTCCAAACTTGAGCGAGCTTTCCTCTATTTGTTCTAAACTCCAGTTGCTTTAAGTATTCACTAATCTTTACATCTTCGAGCGTTAGTACCTAATTTTCTATATCTTTCTACGTCTGGTCCATTTTTGCGGTTATTCTGTTCGTTATTATTTGATAACAATCGCTGGTATCTTGATTCCATTACTTTTTTGTATAGACGCTGCCTAGTTATTGTTATTAAGCCATATAATAACAATAACTACAAATTATCTATATATAATTAATTATATATATCTATAAATAATTAATTATAATTAACTATAATTAATTATGTGCCAATAACCACAAATTATCGCCGCATTTGATGTTTATTCAATTGCTACAGGAATCCCAGAATTTCGCGTATACGAGTATGCTTTACTTAATTTTTTTTAAACTATTTAATTTAACTCTATTAGCAAACAAAGTGCTTAACATACGTTACATATACTATCAAGCCGATCAACAAATTCTTTAGCTCATTATTACGTAATACAATAATAATTCAACCTATCAGGCGCACTAGCTGTTTGTTAGCACGTCTGTTTTTAGTATTCACTAAACTTAATTATTATTAAATGAATATATCAGTGTGAAAACACCAATTTCCGCGGCTGTAAATTGTAATACGGCGTTTTATTATTTAACTAAAACAAAAACAAAGAAATTCATGTTCCTGCAGTGTTTATGTTTTGACATATTCATTGAAATAGATAGCACTGCAAGATGGCGCCGTATTAGTTGAGCGCAAATGAACAGCTGCTCTCGTGATCACTGATTAGCACACGTAGCCAACTCCCGTCGCTGACATTGAAAAAATGTACATAAATGATTTTATCGGCATTCACGGTTTGATTTGGCTCGTACCATGCTTGCTTTTATCTTGAATGTTATCGGTGTTAGTATTTTTTCCATACCTTTATATTTTCGTGCTAGCATTATTCTTTATCATCTGGTGGGTGGCATCCTTCAAAGTAATCCCCACTTGATTGAATAACACGGTTCCATCGATGTTTCCACTTTTCAAAACAGTCCTGGGACTCACTTTTAGGGATAGCCTTAAGTACACTCGTCGCATTGTTTTCAACCGTGGTTTTGTCATCGAATCGGTGTTCTTTGAGTGGTTTTTTTAGTTTTGGAAACAGCCAAAAGTCACAAGGGGCTATGTCGGGACTGTATGGAGATTGTCGAAGTAATGCGATATTGTGTTTGCTCAAAAACTGCTGCACAAGATTGGATGAATGCGCTGGCGCATTATCGTGATGGAGAAGTCAGTCACCACTTTCCCAAAAGTGCGGCCGTTTTCTTCTTACTGCATCACGCAAACGTTTCAAAATTTGAACATAGTATTCTTTATTGATTGTCTGCCCTGTTGATGCATATTCGTGATGTACAACACCTTCACAATCGAAAAAAACAATCAACATTGACTTAACTTTTCTCCGAATTTGACGTGCTTTTTTTGGTCTTGGCGATTCAGAATGCTTCCACTGTAAAGATTGTTGTTTTGTTTCAGGATCATAACCATAAACCCATGATTCATCACCTGTAATAACTTTTCTAAGCACATTATCATCATTATTAACCATTTCCAGATTGTCCAGAGCGATTTCTAAGCGAATGTTCTTCTGGTCTGCTGTGAGCAATTTTGGGATGAATTTCACACACACGCGTTTCATTCCTAAATTTTCGGTTAAAATTTCTGAAATGATAGTTTTTGGTATTCCAAGGTCTTCTTCTAGTTCTCGCATAGTCATACGACGATCTTGTTCGATTGCAAGTCGCACCCGCTAAATATTATCTGCGGTTTTTGTCGTCGAAGGTCGGCCGGAACGAAAATCACTATCGACAGAAGTGCGACCATCCTTGAACCGTTTTTACCACTCTTTTATTCGTGTTTTGCTCATACACTCGCTTCCGAAGGCCTTTTGCATCATTTTAATAGTTTCCGAACTCGTTTTTCCGAGTTGAAAGCAAAATTTCATGCAAATTCGTTGATCTTGTTTTTCAGTCATTTTTGACAGTATCAAAATCCGACGAACGCGAAAAAGGCACTGTAAACACAGACACGCTGCGCATGAACTATACGTCCGGCAAGTATCAGTAAGTAACCAATAGATTCGTGAGGCTTTACTGTTGACGTTTCTGTCCGGTAGAGCTCGAGCACTATGGCGCAAAGATATAAACGTAGGCCCGATACCTTCCGGACAGACCTCGTATGTGCGTAGAGTTAGGTTATCTACAGGTAAACACCTATATTATGATGCATCAAAATATACAATTTTTTTCCACGGCATTCGGGGAATAAAACCTTATAAATCTCGAGAGGAGTGCACTAATACCTTTACAATTAGATCGTTCCCCTTATCAACACCATTCACTGTTCATGGAAGATGCGCGAGAATACGGTGTCTTTTCCAAAAACTTAGTATTCTCGAAGAACCTTGTACAAGAACAAAAATGCTTCTTCTTACAACTACTTAACCTTTTCTTTTTTTCTAATATTTCTTCTGTTATTGTTCTTTATTACGCATAAGAAATTTTGCAGTTATCCATTATCTAATAGTAATGTCAAGATACAAGAGATTTTTTCCGAACATATCAAGCTGTTTGCTCGGCGGCCACTGCAGAAGAGCTCTAAGTGACCGCCAAGCGCTTTCGAAGTGTTCTAGGTTATTGGCCCCAAAATCTGCATACACATATACATTTTGTATACGAGACGTATACATACCTCTAACAAAGATAATACATATTTCAAATTATTAAGTGAATAAAACTTTATTATATAAAAAATTTTTCAAAAAATACAATATGTCCTACTTTTTTATTAATATATAACAAGAAGGGTTGTTTCTAATACGAGATTTTAATGATGTATAGATGGTAACAACTACTTCAGACATAACTCCATATATTAGCAATGAAATTAATAACTATTCTATGTGGGACAACTCAGTGCTATATCCGTCAACACCTATGTCAATGCATTCAAATCTAAGTGATCAAGGGCTTTGTAGACAATCATGTGTATTACTACATCAAAGGTAAAAGAAATATAAATATTACGCTATTCCTTTGCTCACTCTCTCTCTCTCTCTCTTTCTCTCTTTCTCTGTCTTTATCTCTCACTGCTTTTTTTATTTTTACTGAGATTTATTAATTTGTTATTTTTACTATTGTAAAATTATTTATTACTATTTAGATATTATTGTATTACTGTCTAGTTTCAAATGTAGAAATGTAGCAAATCCAAGTTAATATTGAATAAATAATCTCGTTATATAATTCATTAAATGTAACAAATACGCTAATAATGATTGCATCTATCTCAAGAGTAAACAACTTAGAATCTTTGAAATTGTAAAATGATCGAAGATTTGGCATTGTTCTCATGCATTATTGCTGTGAGTGAATTCAAAATCATTATTCTTATATAAAAAAAGACATGTGATAATAAGCACATTTTTTTTTTTTTTTTTGAAGAAGTTGGAGAATGCTTTATGCACGTAACGGCCTTCCGGCTCGTCCTGTGTGGGAATCCCTAAGCATGGTATACCCACTAAACTCCCATCTCTCTATGTCCTGCCTGTATCCCCCGCGGGAACCGCCGCTAGGCATTACTTCGTAGGGGGGCTTCTGCTATATTAGCCTTGTCTTCTTCATTACCTTTCGGCTGTGTCGTTTTCTTCGATCTTCATCGTCTTCGGCTATGTTAGCCTCGTCTTCTTCTTATGGCATCGATTTACACGTCTTCTTCCAACGGCATCGTCCGGTCGTCTTCTTCTATCGGCATCGTCCGGTCATCCTCTGGACAGACTCTACCTCGACACCTACGTTCCTCTGCATCGGGTAAGGGAGTCTGGGCTCAACCCAATATCCTTTGCTCTCCCGCAAATGCAGGGGAGCGCTTAGGATAGGCTGGCGCCTTGTTATCCTATGGACATAGGTGACCCCAGAGCCTACGTTCCTCTGCATCGGATGGGGTAACCGCGCTCTACCAACTACTCTGTGGTAGTTTAGGAGCGCTTTTTAGTCCCATAGTCTGGCACCTCGCTCTATCTATGCATGATAGACCTGTCGCGTCTTCTCTCTTCCTCCTTTCTTACTTCGGTCAGCCGGTTTACCACTGACGTGGCAAAGGTCACTACCGTTTCCCATCCCTCTGGCGAGCCGAGCAGGCAAGCTCCGAGCCCTTCGGGACTCATTGGATCATTCCACTCCGTGCGGAAATGCATCCGCTCTTCAGCGAAGCGGGGACACACAAAAAAGACATGTTCTACGTCCTCGTCAGTGCCTGGACAGGCTGGGCATTCGGCACTCGCATATACACCAATGCGTTGGAGATAACTGCGGAAGCAGCTATGACCGGTGAGCACCTGTGTTAGTTGGAAGGTGAGGTGTCCGTGGCGCCTGCCTGTCCACTTGTCAATGTTCGGGATGATGCAATGAGTCCAGCGACCTTTTACTGCGTTGTCCCATTTTCTCTGCTATTCTCGCATTAAATTTTGCGTCCACCGTTTACTGTGGACATGTCTATCAGCATTGTTCTCTTCGTTACGACCTCCTTCACGGTATATTTCTGCTCTGTTGCATGTTAGTAGGTCGATTGGCGCTATTCCAGCGATTACCGAGACTGCTATGTCCGATACAGTTCGGTATGCACGGGCAACTCGTAGCGCTGTTGCTCTGCAGGCTCTTCGACACGTCCTTCCGTAGCTTGCATTATTTCTTAGCGCAGCCGCCCATATAGGAGCTCCGTAGAGAATTACCGAGCTTACGACCGACGATAGGAGGGTTCTGCGTGGTTGCTTTGACCCCCCGACGTTTGGCATGATACCTGCCAACGCTCTAGCAACGTTAGTGGCTTTGACACCTGTTTTCGAGAGGTGTTCCTTAAACGATAGCCGCGCATCTAGTATAACTCCCAGGTACCTCACCGCGTCAGTCGACTGTACTCGCTTATTTTTCACCGTGAATGTGGCGTACTTCCGAGCTTTTGTGCGGGAGATGAGCACCGCTTCCGTCTTTTCCGCAGCGAGACTGAGCCCATGCTCTTTTAGCCATCGAGCCACCACCTCGATGGAGACGTTTCCTATACGAGGTGTGTTCAAAAAATAACGAGAATTTTCGTTTTATGAAAAAAATATTTATTTATTCATCTACATTAATGTTGTCGCCTTCAAAGTAGTCCCCTTCGAATACAATACACTTATGCCAACGCTTTTTCCAATCCTCGAAACACTTTTGAAACTCGATCTTTGTAATAGCTTTTAGCTCTTTCAGCGATTCAAATTTAATGTCATCTATGCTTGTAAAACGACGGCCTTTTAATGTTCTCTTTATTTTTGGAAATAGAAAAAAGTCACATGGAGCCATATCTGGCGAATATGGAGGCTGAGGCATCGTTACAGTTTCGTTTTTGGCCAAAAATTCACGAACAAGCAATGAAGTGTGAGCAGGCGCATTATCGTGGTGCAAAAGCCATGAATTGTTTTGCCACAAATCCGGGCGTTTTTTTCGGATTGCTTCACGCAAACGACGTTGAACTTGTAGATAGTACTGCTTATTGATTGTTTGACCTTGTGGCAAGAATTCATAATGCACTATGCCATTAAAATCGAAGAACACAGTGAGCATAACCTTCACATTCGACCACACTTGTCGAGCCTTTTTCGGTCTTGGCGATCCAGAATGCCTCCACTGGGACGATTGAGCCTTAGTTTCGACATCATATCCGTAAACCCATGTTTCGTCACCTGTTATAACACGTTTTAGTAGTTCTGCATCATTATTGACTTCATTTAGCGACTCCTGAGCAACTTCCATTCGCCGCTGTTTTTGTTCGAAATTCAACAATTTTGGAACGAATTTTGCTGCCACACGTTTCATACCCAAAACATTCGAAAAAATTTGATGGCATGAGCCAATTGATATGCCAACATCATCAGCGACTTCTCTGATTGTGATTCGGCGATCGTTCATAACCATTTCTTTCACTTTTTTCACGTTTTCATCGGTTGTTGATGTGCTTGGGCGTCCGGGTCGTTCGTTATCTTCAACGTTTTCGTGGCCATCTTGGAAACGCTTATACCACTCATAAATCCTTGCTTTACTCATAGCAGACTCACTATATGCCTTTGTTAACATTTGACAAACTTTACTACATTTTATTTCATTTTTTACGCAAAATTTAATACAAATTCTTTGATCCATTTTTTTTCACAAACGAAAATCGCCGAGCTCGAAAAACACGTCTAACGTTAGCGGCTGCCACTTAAAAAGTAAGCAATGAATATTACTGAAAATTTTATCGTACTTCAGGGGCATGTGTACCAACATAATAAAAAAAAATTTTATACAAGCGGACTCTCCAAACCCGCGAAATTTAAAAATTCTCGTTACTTTTTGAACACACCTCGTATATTCTATCTCCTCAACGCTCTTTGCCGTGACCACTAGTGCTACATCATCGGCAAAAGCTATTATCTCTATTCCCCTTGGCAACTGCTGTCTTATTAGTCCGTCATATAGGACATTCCATAGCAAGGGGCCAAGCACCGATCACTGCGGCACTCCTCCCGTGATGTTGTATGAGTGTGTGCCATCGTCAGTTTTATAGTGCAGGATTCGGTTGCTTAAGTAGCTCGATAGGGCTCTACGCAAATACAGCGGCACCCTCAGTCCTTCTATGGCTGTCATAATGATGTCCCATCTTGCCAAGTTGAACGCATTTCGGATGTCTAATGCGATCACAGCGCACATGCGTCTTGCGCTCCGTCCTCCGCTAATGGCATCTTTGGCCAGGTCCACAACTCGACCAATAGCGCCTAGGGTTGAACGGCCTTTTCTGAAGCCGAACTAGTTTCCAGACAGGTCCCCCGCTTCGGCTATAGCTGCCTCCAATCTGGCATGGATTACTCTTTCCAGCAGTTTTCCTATAATGTCCAACATGCACAGTGGTCTGTAGGACGAAGGCTGCTCGGGAGGCTTATTTCCCTTGGGTAGCAGCACCAGTCTTTGCAGCTTCCACGAGTTTGGAAACTGTCCTTCTCGCAGGCACGCACTAAATGTATCGCGAATTATTTCCGGGGCATTCAGTGCTGCCGTCTTGATGGCAATTCCCGGTATCCCATCCGGCCCTGACGCTTTCCGGGTTCGAATTTTCTTCGCGGCTACTATCAGTTCTGCTTGGGTTACTTCTGTAAACTCGATTTCATCGTCTCTTTCCATTAGGCCTGTTTGTTCTGGTCTCTTCCGATGTCTTGGGAACAGATGTCGCACTACTCTGTCGAGGAATAATGGGCAAGATGATAGTGCGCCACTCCTGGGCTTGATCTTGCGCATGACCGTTTTATACGGCCGGCCCCAGGGGTCCTTATCTACTTCCTCGCAGAAGTCTCGCCAGCACTGTCTCTTAGCTGCTTTGATGGTGACCTTGAGCAGTGATCTTAGCTCTTCAAATTTTTCGGTCAGAGCTCGGAAGTTGGGCTTGTTCCTTGCTCTTTGATGGCGCCTTCTGGCTGTAAGACATTTATGCCTCAGGCTTGCGATGTCTTCATTCCACCAGTAAACCGGTAGTCTACCCCTTGCGTTGCTCTTGACAGCCATTGATGCATCACATGCAGTGTTGAGAGCTCGTGTGAGACCCTGCGCCTTTTCCTCCGCGGTTCCGGATACTGATATTCCTTTAAGGGAGTAGAGAAATGATTCTCTGTCGAAGGTATTTGGTACCCATCTCCTCTTGTTTTCCGTTGTCCTGGTGGATACCGCTTTTTTGGTCAACTGGAGCCGGTACATTATGGCTTGATGGTCACTGCCCGTGTACCGATCGCTGACTCTCCAGTTGAGCTCCTCCGTCAATAGTTTGGCATCTATGAAGGTAACATCCACTATGGACGATTTCCCAGCCTTGGAATAGGTCGGGGTCGTTCCTCTATTGGCTACCTCGAGCTCCAATACTCCGAACGCCTCTAGAAGTGCATGCCCGCGAGCATTTGTTTTCGCGCTTCCCCAGTTTACGGCCCATGCATTAAAATCGCCTGCG